CTCTCATGAAGGTAATAATTTCTATTGAATTCCTTCTAAACAAGAAAATGGTGTATAACATTTCTGAAATATCAAAAAAAAAAAAAAAAAAAAAGACCTGTGGTCCTTCCACTAGTCATTCTACCTCTCAAACTAACATTTTCTAGTTCCTCTTCACTAGTCAACTTTCCACCTCTCCAGCTGCATGAGATGTGTCCACAGAGACTAATGGAAGCTATAATACAAACAGTGCCCAGTGCACCTGCTATTTTGTGGAAATAAAAACTATACTTTTATGTATAACCAGCGATACAAAAGAAAAATAATCAGTGATACAGAAAAAAAAAACTTCCCAAAATGAATATTATGTGAAAATTTAATTAAGAATTTTATAAATCGTCTTGGAGGAGAAAAAATGAACCCGGGAGTTCACACATGCTAGGCAAGTGCTCTACCACTGAGCTACACCCTCGGTTGCCAAAATTATCATTTTATAGAGCAAAATTTTTGGTATAATGTACTAATTGCCTTCTGCCTTCTCTGTTCACCCCCACCTCCCTTAACATTAAAGAAAGATGAACAGTAATGAACACCTAGAGCTCAAAGGTAGAAAATCCTTGGGGCTGGGGATGTGGCTCAAGCGGTAGCGCGCTAGCCTGGCATGCATGCGGCCCGGGTTCAATCCTCAGCACCACATACCAACAAAGATGTTGTGTCCGCCGAGAACTAAAAAATAAATATTAAAATTTTCTCTCTCTCCTCTCTCACTCTCTCTTTAAAAAAAAATAAATAAATAAAAATAAAAAATAAAAATACTCTCTCCATTCTTCTTTTTTTTCCCCCTCTCCATTCTTTAYCAAGCAGTCTTACCCTGCCTCATCTTCAAAGTCCAGCACAAATTCTTCGTCGGTGCAACCACACTTGAGCACCCCAAGGAAGTCCCTCAACATTTTATTGATGTACATTTCCACTCATTTTGGCCTAATACTGAGTGAGCTATTTTGAATACCCTGTTTCCTGAACTAAACTCCCTAAGACTCTCAGTTCCAAGCACACGATCCCAGTTATACTCCATGTATGTATAATATGCCAAAATACATTCTACTGTCATGTATAACTAAAAAAGGACAACAAAAAAACTAAAAATTCTGTTGTTAAGCTTCTAATGAAATCATTTCATGATGAGTACATGAAACACATGTGTCAAACATTACTTCTATGCTGGCATCTTAAACTCTTGGCTTCCTGAGTGCAGAAGACATGCTTGCTGTTACTTGTTGTTGTCTCTTGACAATGAACACAGAGTAAGCAATGCAAATTATGAATAAGCACAAATAAATCACTCTC